GGTTCCGTATTACATTTCTTGTTTTGAGGAAGCTGCTCCAGGCCGCTTGTATTTCAATTTGTACAGCTTGACTCCACTTCTACTGTACATTTAATGAACTTCCAAGGTGCTTCTATTTGCCAATACGTGCACCATACTTCCATTTTAGGAGCTTAACGAAGCAGGTAATGAACACAGTCTACGAAGAGTCGGACACGACTAAACGAATGCACCATACGTCCATTTTAGGAGCTTAACGAAGCAGGTAATGAACACAGTCTAAAAGTGAATGTTTAGAAAAGCAAGTTCATCAGAATAGTTAAAATGCATCTTCTCAGCGGCCTGCATTTTAATTATTTTTAAATGAACTTCGTTTTCTTAACGTTCACTTTTAGACTGTGTTCATTACCTACTTTGTTGGCTTTACTGAGTAGTCTTCATAGGCTATTTAAATTGTCAGCTAGTAATACTGTACTATCTGCAGACAGACAACATTACATTTGACTCAGCAAGTGCTTCTCTAAAAATCTTCTTGGAGTTCAAATTGAAAAACAATGGCAAGAGTATACATCTTTGGAAAACTTCGATATGTCTTCTGTCATCTGATTTTTTTCCCCCTGCACATACACGCTACTAATTACATGACCATGGCTTGAATCAAGACTTTCGTCTACTAACAACTAGACCAGCTTCCCACACTGGACTTTGTGAAAGGCTTTCGCACAGCCAATAAAGCAATAACTTCCAATTAAAAGCTGGAACTCACCTTAGCTTCACATTCTGCCCAGTATAAGACTCATATGGTTTCTCCACATGTGTGAATTCAAAGTCAAAGGTCTGTGACTGCGTGAACTCTCCAGGACGAGCCAGGTCCTTCACCAGGGAGACAAATTCATGGTGGTTCCCTCGGTCGTAATAGAGCTCTAAAGGCAAAAGACTCTCTTGGTCAAGACTCTTCTACCCAGAGTTGGTATCTCAAGTGCCACGGGGGCCTCGGATCAAAAGCAGTATTCTGCTCCATGCAAGACACTCCTGTGATGCAAAGCAGAGTTCACAGCTATGCAACTGCTTTCTGGGCAGCAAAGCACAGCTCAGAGCTATGTGACTGCTTTCTGGGCACCAAAGCACAGCTCAGAGCTATGCAACTGCTTTCTGGGCAGCAAAGCACAGCTCAGAGCTATGCAATGACTTTCTGGGCAGCAAAGCACAGCTCAGAGCTATGCGACTGCTTTCAGGGCAGCAAAGCAGAGCTCAGAGCTATGTGACTGCTTTCAGGGCAGCAAAGCAGAGCTCAGAGCTATGCAACTGCTTTCAGGGCAGCAAAGCACAGCTCAGACCTATGCAATGACTTTCTGGGCAGCTGAGCACAGCTTAGAATTATGTGACTGCTTTCAGGGCAGCAAAGCACAGCTCAGAGCTATGCAAAGACTTTCTGGGCAGCAAAGCATAGCTCAGAGCTATGTGACTGCTTTCTGGGCAGCAAAGCACAGCTTAGATTCATGCAACAATTGCCCAGGCTTTCAGTAGCTTCTTATCATCAGCCACTGCTGGGCATAACATGAAAAGAAATGTGAGGGTGGCTGAGATATCTCTGAGGTTCCTCTTCTAGGGTGGGGTAGGTTTACCGAGTGATTTCCTGAAGGTTATAGCAGTTAAGTGGCAGGCAGGGCACCATATACCGTTTCCCTGAAAATGATTCATGCAACAATTGCCCAGGCTTTCAGTAGCTTCTTATCATCAGCCACTGCTGGGCATAACATGAAAAGAAATGTGAGGGTGGCTGAGATATCTCTGAGGTTCCTCTTCTAGGGTGGGGTAGGTTTACCGAGTGATTTCCTGAAGGTTATAGCAGTTAAGTGGCAGGCAGGGCACCATATACCGTTTCCCTGGAAATAAGTATGATGAGCCCTAATGAGTTTCTTTGGAGGAAAAATTAATATAAGAAAGACCCTCTCTTATTTTCGGGGAAACACAGTATTTATTTTTTTCATTTATCAGTTTAAAGCATTTGTCACCAGGCTCTGCAAAGCTATTTACAGTACATTACAATGTAGTTTAAAACATTATTTAAAAGGCCCCAAATGTCCTCTTAATTCCATTTTTTAAAAAAGGTCCTAGAGCCTTTGGACCCATATAATGTTAGCTGTTCATTGGAAACCTATGAAATCAGAACCTACAGGCAACTTTCAGTATATTCCTTTTCTGTAGTTCGCAAAGGTTTATTGGAATTACAAGGATTCCAGTTACCGTCTGCAACCAAACCAAGTGGAAATACGATTTATTTTTGTCCTCTTACTCAAGAAAAATAAACCACATTATTATTTTTCCTTAATAGTTTTTGATTGCTTTGGGGGCTGGACTGGTTGGTGCATTTTGTTCTATTGTTTCAGAATATCTGGGGTGTTTTTATGAAAAGAGTGAAAAGTTTGAGAACAAAATGTAAAGCCACCTGATTCCTAAGTACGAACCATTCCTTGTCTTCCAAAAAATTAGACAAGGCAATAATTTCAAAGTACACTTTTCAACTGTGCAATTTCAAAACAGCAGAAGCACTTGGTTTCAAGCACATCAAGAATATCCCACCATGTCTTTAAATCAAGGAGAAAAATCACCAGCCTACGGCAATTTTCTATCTGTCCCTGTTGCTCCTTCTACTGTTATCACCCATCACTGATTGGAGATAAGAGTGTCTTAAAAACACTTATGTTCTAAACACTCTGCACGGAACGGAGGTGTGGTTTCCAAGTGGAAATGGCTGTTGCTTGGAATTCAGCAGGTAGGAAGGCTGCTGTGTGGCATTTATTGCTGAGTACTGCAGACCTATCTAGAATTCACCCAACCCATATCACAATGGGTCCCTACTCCCTCTGTCTCTCGCTCTATGCCTTTAAGACGGACACAATGCTGAAACGTAGCCCCGAGACCTTTGCCCAACGAGAAATCAGTCTCTCGAGCTAAAAAAGTTGACAGCAGCCAAGACTGAACCTTCCTGCTACCGAAACACTCAACGTTTTAACCATCAAGCTGTAACGCTCCCAACGAGCAACACAACATCACTCATCTGGTGATGAAGCATTGTCACTGCCATTCCATTAAATGCCCAGATATTGCACAGGCAAGGATGATTCAGAAATAAATACAGAGTTCTTCAAATATTCATCTTCTTTCTGAGAAGCAAGAGAGGAAAACCAGCTGTGAAAGACAAGGAGGTGTCTCGCCACGATGGACGGGCTCAAGGAGTGACCACTGCTGAACACAAACAACGGGGGATTCAAAATAAGCATCGGATAGCCAGGATAATTTTTTCCCCCAAGGTAATTGACATGGGATGGTTGCCTTTTTAAAAGACAGAATGACCGGCAAGGTGCTGTTGCAGCATGCACAAATGAAGGATCTTAGCAACAGAAGCACTGAGGTTAATAATAGCACTGGTGTGCATGTATCCATGAAAAAGAGGGAACCCAACAGCTGATTCACACAACCAAACAGGGGAGAGGATGGTTGGATTTGCAAGCTGAGTTGGGTGATGAAACAAGCCTGCCACTGCGAATCTACCACCTTGGGCATGCTTTAGGGAGGGTGCAAATATTTTTTTCATCTGGCCAACCCCGGACTGAATCCAGATGCCACTGTGCGGAGAGCAGACCCAATGAAATCAATGGGTCTGTTCCAAAGCTGACTCAGTCTAGACCCAACCATGTGTGTTAGTATTTTTTACTACAGTTTAATGTCAAAGAGAGGAGGCAATTTAGATGCATCTCCAGGAAATGAGAGGACTCGAGGGGTGCTACTCTCGCTTTCTGATTTCATCTGCCAGCCCATTCGGTTCTCAAACGATTTTTCGACACTCCGTAGCCAAAGCCAAATGTGGAAACCCCACAGCGTTTACCACCAGCAAAGGGGCACCTAAAGGTTAATTTGACTCGAACGCCCTGCCCACCAAACAGAACGTCTTCGCAACCCACAATCTGCCTTGAGAGTTCAATCACACCCTCGTCCTTCCAGATGGGCACAGGTGTATGTATGTATTTTTCCCACATGGTGTCACAGGGAAGGCCAGGAAGGAAGGAAGGCTGGATTTGGCCCCAGGCCTGTCATTCTCCACCCTATTATGGTACACAGCCACGACGGGAAACCTCTTGTAGAACCACAGTTCCCGTTATCCCTTGCTGGCTGGGACCAATACGAATTGTCCTCCAGCAATGCTTGGCAGGTCAAATAATCCCAACCACTGTGATACAGTGATGCCTCACTAGACAGTTATCCTGCATGACAGGTTTTTTTTTTGCTAGACATTGGCTTTTTACAATCGCTATAGCGATTCGCAAAACAGTGATTCCTATGGGGGAATTTCGCTGGACAATGTTTGGTCCCTGCTTTGCAAACTGATTTTCGCTAGACGACGATTTTGACAGCTCCCTCCATGCTCGCAAAACGGGTGTTTTCGGGACCTAACCTTCGGAAGTCAGCGATTTAAACAGCTGATCGGCAGTTCGCAAAGCGGCTTTCCTATGGCCGCTCTTCGCTAGACAACGACGATGCTTCCCCATTGGAAGGCATTAAACAGGTTTCAATGCATTCCAATGGGGAAATGCTTTTCGCTAGACGATGATTTTGCTAAACAGCGATTTCAGTGCAACGGATTATCATCATCTAGCAAGGCACCACTGTACAAAGATACACTACCTCTGTACATGGTGGCTCCATCTACAAGCTCCATTGATTTTGCAAACCGAGTCACCCACAGCACCCAGATCCATCTACGCTCCTGACCGAGAGAAGGGACATGCAACACGGACGATCCATTCGGACACCACAGAGAACGTTAATCCATCTTACCGATTTGACCAATGAACTCCACCTTGATGCCCTGATGCTCTAGGCGCTTGTTCGGGTGTTTGAGGGTCAGGATGACTCTCCCCGAAACCGTCTCGCCATCGTAGAAGAGGAAGTATTTCTCCTTCTTGCCCTCCTCTGTCTTGTGTTCCGCCCGGCGCCTGCTCTCCGCGTCGCTCAGCACCAGTTCCAACTCGGCGCTCTGTCCAAACCCAAAGAAGCTCATGGCGGATGACGGGGAGACGAGGCGGTGTCACTCCCCAAGGGAGTAAGGCACACGACAAGTGGGGCAGGTGCAATCTCTGTGGGCCCGATCCTCCCGAAACGGTCAGGGGCTCAGAGATCAAGCTTTGCCAAACCCAAGCTGCTGATCTTCTCTCGCTTGGCTAGGAAGAGGGACCATCCATGAATGACAGGAAGCCACCCCGCCGAGGAAGTGCCTGGATCCTAAGGAGACCTGCAACTCGATAAATAAGACGGAGCGGTGGAGGCGGAAGGCAACGTGCATGGGAAATGTACTTGGACTCTAATCGAT